CCGGAACCGGAAGTTGAACTGGCGCCATCTTGTGATTCCCACGAAGCTTGTGGGATCTTGAAACGAGTGTTTTCTTAGAGTCAAACGGGGATTTTAACTCACGGAGGGACTGAGTGTGATCAGGAGTAGTAGCGTCCTGTTTCTCAGAGCTACGACGGAGGTGATCTGCTGGGCTTTGTGTTTGGCCGCAGTGTTCTGTCATGATGGGGTCTATGAGAGTAAAGCCCAAGATGCAGAACACACACGGAGAACGTTGGTAAAAAGTCCAAAGAGTTTATTGTAACACAAGCACGTAGTAAATATGCAGGAACAGTTCAGTCTGGGGGCTGGTTCACTGGGGTAAGAGCGGGGAACGGACGATGGCTGGTACTCTGAGATCATGAGGGGCTAAGCTTCTAGCTGTGTGCTTAGCAAGGCTAAGTTGGATCTGAGCTTCCAGCTCAACACAGAGAACAACAGGGGATAATCCACACGGAAACCTCTGGGGAAACTCCTCGAAGAAGTCTTCTGGTTTCATCCACGTAGGGATCTGTGGGTTGGCTCACCAGGGCAGTTTAGCAGGTTGGGCTTCCCAAGAGCTTCTGGCTTGACACTGGTTTCCTGTGACACAGCTCTCCCAGAGCTGCGGGTCAGAGACAGGGTTCCAGTGAGGGTGCTCTCCCTAAGCTTCACCAGGAGACAGGAGGTTAAGCTCATCCAGAGCTTTCACGAGGGACAGGATTCCTGTGAGGCAGAAATAAGGAAGATATTAGAATCTGGTCTCGACCTAGGAACAACCAAGACTCAGTTAATAGCAGAAGGTTCAGGAAGCTAACCAACTAAGATCAACACTGCGGCGTGGAATCAAGGTCTGAAGTCAGCTTATATACTGTGGTCCTCCTGATTAGTAGATCAGCCACAGGTGTGTGGGAGGTTCAGCTCAGGAGGACCCACGGCGCACTCTGCTGGAGGCAGAGGGTAATCTCCAGAACCTTGACAGTGACTCCAGCCCTAAGGGAAAGACAAAGAGAGCAGAAGAGGATCCTCGGCGCCCTCTGGTGGGCAAGCCTGAGGATCCCAACAATCTTAGCCAAATATATTCACATTAGACATAAGGCGCAGATGCATTGTGGTACTTTGCACAGTATAAGGTGGATCGAAGACCAGAAAGGTTTTATCTCAATGCAGTTCCAGAAAACCTCTGCATGGCTGGCGTCAGCAGTGCCACATTGCCTCCAACACATTTGTTGAGTGGACAGATGTTTACTTTAATAGATGGTAAAGAATCGAATGAAAATTTTCAAGTTGAATTCTATTGTTTCTTTTTCCCACTTTTCTTTTACATACAGAGTTTTATTTTTCATTTATTTGTTTTTAAAGTCATAGGAAATAGGATTTTTTTTAAATGGAAATTTTCTAACTTTTGGGATAATATCGTCTGATAAAGAGTGCATTTATATACATGTTTAAGCCAGAATGACTTGATATTTAAATATGACTTTCCTACAACTTCTCCATGGTCGTGCTCCATCTTATCTTTCTGAGTTGCTGCACCTTGATGCTCCCTCCTGTTCACTCAGGTCAGGCGATCAGCTGCTTCTTGAGGTGCCAAACACTAACCGGAAGCTTAGAGGCGATCATGCTTTCTCTGTAGCAGCTTCAAAAATGTGGAACGACCTTCCATTGCAACTTCAGTTGTCTACTTCTTTGTCGGATTTTAAATGGCTCTTTGAAAACTCATCTCTTTGCCTTGGCTTTCTAAAGTGTCTGAGATGTTGATTTTAGTCTTTGATACATTATTTTTATTTTATTATAGATTTTATAGTTCTGATTTTAGTTTTGTCTTTTATATTTGTATGGGTCACAGTCTTGGTTCTGTTAAGTTTTCTTAGAGTTTTCATTTTCAGGTTGATTCATGTTTTTCTTTGTTTTCTAGTTTTATTGGTTTAATTCCTATTTTGTTGTGTTTTCTAGTTATATTTGAGTTCTTAGGATTTTCTTGCTTGCCCTCTGTTCACTCCTGCTCCCAACCAGCTCATTAGTCCTGTCTTTGTTCAGTCTCCCATATATATACTCTTCCTGTGCAGGGGGCTGCTTCGTCATCTTTTCCTGGCTCCTCATGCATGTTTTCCCTGATGTCTCCATGGTTCTGGTTTGTTTTGTACTTTTATGTTGGATTTTTGGTTTCCTGCCTCAGTGGCCTGTGAGTAATTTCAATTAAATCTTTAGGAACTCACCTCTGCTTCTTGCCTCTGCATTTGGGTCCTCAAAACTACAGCAGTTTTTGTCATTACAGAAATTTTAAAGGGATCTTTAAAGTTGGATTAGATTGGAACCGTTGTTTCAGCAGCCAGTTGTTCCGCGCTGAAGATTTTGAACTATGTGCAGATCTGAATGAATCCCCAAAAGGTCTGAAATGCTAGACAACCCACTGGCAAACAGATGAATCTCCAGTCAACATTGCCCAGAGTAACCAGTGCTGCCAATGTATGACCAAAACTATGCAAGATTTGCACGAGTCCTGCCAAAAAAGGACCCCCTCCCACTGAGATTGATCCAATCCAATGACGTTAGCATTGCTAATTGACTTCCTGGTGTGTTTTCTAACCCTACTTAATGTTATGCATATGACTGTTAAGCTTGTGTTCAATTTCGACTATGCTTCTCAAAAACTGGCCAAAAGAGCTGATAATTAAAACTGTTATCATTTTGTGCGTGAGTTTTTTTTTATTTTATCAAATAACCTTACAAGTAAGATTTTATGTAATCTTTAATAAAAGTTCAAATTAAGAAAACGGGGATATGAGGTTGTAAAAAAGTCATCCCCCTACTTTGCATATGTGCTGATATTTCTCCTGCTTAAATGCGCAGCTCAGCCCCTCCCCTGCATGTTGCTGTACCCATCCTGTCCATTGACTTAAGGAAGGATTAGATCCTTTCATTAAACGAAAAAATGACAATTTCAGCTTTTAAAAATGTTTCCATGCAACGGTCCAACAGTCATGCTGTGCTAAAGGAGCACCAATCCTCAGTCCCATAAAGGCGGAACTTCGCTAACCTGCTGTCCGCAGGCTGCACCAGAGCAGAGAGTCTGAGTAATTAACCAAACAATGTCCCTCTATTAAAGAGCAGAAGAATTGAATGGTGCAGTATTCTGAAAATTAAGGTGTTTTCTTCAACCCTTGTATAAAAACACTGGTTTTACATATATCAGTGAAACTATGACAAATGTTTATGCTTTTCCTATTTAAATAAAAACAGGATCCTGTAACACACTGTTTGTTTTATTACTGTCACATTGTTTAACTCTGGTGTTTATTCTGCTTTATGTAAACAAGAGCATCTCTTACTGGGAACAAACCTAAAAGAAAGTACAAGTTGTTTTGCCAAGTCTATTTTTATCCTCCCAAAACACTACTTTATTTTACTTAAAACATTTTATAATGACATACATCATTCACGATTGGGGTAAAGATTAAAGTATTTCTACAATGAACTATGAATCATTCTGCTGTACAAAATAACCACAAATAAGGCAAATTTTCCTAAAATACAGGAACTCTTTTCTTATCTTATTTCAAGTGCATTATATCAAATTTTCTTACAGAGCATCTTACCTACCTACTCAAATTAACACACACTTATATCAGGAAAGTTTTACTTAGTTTTCAAATAAGTTTTTATAGTGTAAACCCTTAATCAGGTTTACATTCTAATTATGTTTTAAATCGGAAAACAAATAAGCAGCTGGAGAAGATAAACTAAATGATAATCTCTGTTGGATAATGTCCCCCCTCATGCATGAAGCTGCTGCTGATCTGGAGAGCTCCTTCAGTGACAGACTGCTGCACCTTAAATGCACCAGGGAGCATTATCACAGATCCTTCCTCCCAGCAGCTGGAAGACTCTAGAACAGGGGTGTCAAAGTCAAATGGACGGAGGGCCAAATAGAAAATTTAGCTACAAGCCGAGGGCCGGACTGATCGAATGTTCATTGAAATTTTTTTAAATGACGCATATAGTCTAGTGAACCTAATTGAACCTACTGAAAACCTAACAAATATATTCCAATATGATCAGATAAATAAAGCAATCTTTTCTTATGGCTCTGTCAGTAATCTTTAATTTTCAACAGACACAAAAGACAAATTTCCTTAATATAAAAATCCCCATAACATGAACATTAAATGAAACAAACCTGTATTATTCAAGGCACCATCTGTAGCCTATATTTTCTATTTTAGCTAAAGTGAACTAAATTTACTTCAAAGAAAAAAATAATAGCAATTTTATATCCTCCACTCAACTGAAATATTATTAAAATAGAATTGGATTGAAATACAATAAAATAAAGTGCAAAAATCTATTAATCAAAAACACTTTCCTCAAGGAGAAGTAACATGCAGTGAGAACAAATATTGGTTGTTGGAGGTTGTTGGGAACAGTGGTGGTTCTAGAGTCTAGAACCACCACTGTTCCCAACAACCTCAATAAGTTGTTATGCTGATTTTGCACAGTTTCTACCTTAGTCAGTTAAATAACCTGCTGCTGTCATTCTGCACATCTCTGATGTTGCTGCTATTTTCAAACATCCATTACTGTAGAAGTGTCCATAGCTGGATATTGGTTATTTATTCTCCAGCTGCACATTATTATATTATTAAACACTTTGCAATACAGTATTTTATTTTTTTACTCTTCACTATTATGTTATTCTTATACATGTTTATAAGGTCCACATTTGTGTGACCTTTTTTTTTCTATAATCCTATATGCTGCTATAAACACCAGAATTTCCCCCATTGTGAGATAATAAAAGGATTTTCTATTCTATTCTAAACAAAGTATTCACAAATACATATTACCTTATATTGAGGTGATTAATTTACAATATGGTAAAACATTTGAATAAAAAGCCAATAATAATAATAACCAGTCTTAGCTGTGTGATATCAGAGCTGGTGATGCTGTAAAAACAACCTGGATGAAGCAGGAATGTGAGTGTTGGGTGTGTGCCTCACCATGAGCACCGTGACGTAGGTGAAGAGGCCTGCAGAGATGACCAGGAGCACCACAGACCAAGGAAACCAGAACCCCAAGTGACCAAAGTTAAACCTTCAAACCCACAAGTAAGCAAAGGGAGGGTCAGTGATCCACAGAGCAGGACAAGAAAGGATGAAACCATGAACTACACCTAGGGCTGGGTATTGTTAAAAAAATTTCGGTTCCGGTACCAATACCGATACCTTCACTTCGATACCGGTTCCTGAACGATACTTTTTTCGATACCAGTTTTATAATATCAATTCGAAAAAAAAGAAAATTACACAACATAAAAAAGTACAAATCTTGAGTTTTATTTTAAGCTCTGTTTTTCCATTTACATTTTTCCTCTTACATAAAAAAATAAATAATTCAGTGTCTAATATTCACTGTTACATTGTGAGGACCTTTTTACTTAGCAGTTTTCCTTTAGAAAACTTACCATGTCTGACAAACAAGCCCGTTGAATGGGATCCTACTGACAGCGCACCGCTGGTATGGGGGGGGTCTGAGCGGCTCCGACAGAAATATTGAAGGCAGGATGAACTGACTGCACTGATTACGTTTTCAGGTGGATTTTCCCACTTAAAAACATAATAAAACTACTTTATTCCCACTGATCACAGCAAATATAGCTGCAAGGCAAATAAAGGATAGAGTAGCTCCGCCCAACGCGCGTCTGACCCACTTTGCGACCGCGCAGCCAGAGCAGCAAAGCTTCTTCAGCAGCGCGTCAGAAGCTGGTACAAGCAGCAAAAATGAAGCAGCAGACGAGATTTTGCTGCTCCTGCTGCGTCCAGTTTGAAAGCAGCATGATTCACTCCGCTCTGGCTTTGCTCTGCCCACGGGCTGCTGAGAGGAGGATGGTCGCGCTGGCTGCGGTCCGCTCTTCTTGCAGTCAAACACAGAGCGACTTTCTGCTCTTAAATTATTTCCGTGCACGATGTATTGCATTGTGCACTATTAGCATCAGTCTTAATAAAGTGAAGCCGCACTTTTGACCTGGGGGGCATTTTAAAGGGGTTCCGCGACGCTGCAACCAGTTCACAAAAGATACACATGAACCCTGGCTGTAGGCGTGACCACCTGTGTATTTTTCCTGGATGACGCAATCACCTTAAGTGTTCCAGCCAATCACCGAAACTTGGTACCGAAAGACGAGGCATGTTTCGATACTCTGTAGAACCGAAGCATTTCGGTCGGTACCATAAAAGTACCGAAGTTCGGTACCCAGCCCTAACTACACCTAAAAAACCTAAAAAACAATTAAAAAAACTGTTATCAGAATGAATATAATACGCTTTTAATCAAACGAGCAAAGGATCAGAGATTATTTACAAACTGCTGCTTTCTGGTTTTACAGACGAATATCAAAGAAAAAAGAAAAAGCTGCAGAGTTGAAGACTTAGTCTGATCAAAGTAGAGATACACAATACATCTGAATGAACATCAGTATCAATCAATGTTTTTAAAACATATCAGTATCGACCACATAAAATAAAACTGGTGTTTGTCTATGTGTTTTTAATTACTTATTTCTGAAAGAATAAAATAAAAGTAAAAAATTAAAAAAGTTATTTGCGGGCTGCTCAGTGGGTTCTGCAGCAAAAGGTTCTGGGTTCAAATCTCGGCCGAGGATCTTTCTGCATGGAGTTTGCATGTTCTCCCTGAGAATGCGTGGGTTCTCTCTGGGTACTCTGGCTTCCTAACCTGACTCCGCCAGATGGATTTGCTCCACATATCCATCTGGAAACCTTCTGTTAAAGTAATTTTGGGAAGGGGTGAAAATACTGGTTAGTTGATTGGCCTATGTTTGTGATAGACGGGCCAAATAAACCAATCAGATCAACGTAGCATATGACGTACTAACAGAGCGACGACGAAACCACAAGCCAGGCTACTCTTGCCGAAACCAGTCGGGAGAAGAGCAAAAACATATTTTCCTCTGAGAAAAGCCTCCAGAGCAGTGTTTTGCTCTTCTTTCAGTGAAGAAATACTCTGTAATTCCGATAAAACTTGCTCGATAGCCACGCTAACGCTAGTTTCATCGGCTGAAGCCGCCATGTTCTTTAGACTGAACTGTCGCGCTTCTCGTTGCATCACACCTCAACCCGCCTCAAAGCCAACGCTGATTGGACGTTCGTTTGGTGAACGGCTCCAAATTTTCTTTAACGGAGAGTCTCCAGACTGATTAGCGAGTGAAATCTTGAAAGCTCGCGAGATCAGGACGGTCTCACAAGGCTACTGGCTACCTCCCACAGTCCTAAAACATGACTGTTAGGTGAACTTGCTTCTCTAAATTTTTGTGTGAATGGTTGTTTGTCCTGTTTCTATGTTGTCCTGGCAACCTGTCCAGGGTAGACCCCGCCTCTCTCCTGTAGAAAGCTGGAGATAGGCACTAGAACCCCTTGCGACCCCAGCAGGGATAAGCATGAAGGAAAGTGGATGGATTTTTAAATTCCATATCTGCTTCAGTCAACATAATGGTGTATTTATTGTATAGCATAAAATGTATTTCTTGATATGTAGCTTATAACTTGTTGCTATTTATCTTGGCACCATGCATTGGGACAAATGATGGCACCAATATCATTTCTGTCACTTATTCTGTACCCTGGTGCTAGATTCAACAAAGCAGACACAGAGTTTGAACTCATTCAGCTCGAAACCTTTTCCCGACCCCGCTAACTTCACAGCGTCAGTTGCCATAGTAACCCAGTCAGACTCAGCCAGCTGTATGATACCTATACGATAAAAAAAAGTCAGACTTTGCCAACTTAGCCAGTTTAATAAAACATCCTTCTGGTATACTTGCTGTTTTGATGCAGGACGGAAACAGACATTAGTGATGGAAAATAGAAGTTTGCAGCACAGAGATGTTTGCATGAGATTCTTTAACCACAGGAACGTTAAAAGCTAGATTAACATCTGGATATGTTTGGGCATGCAACAACTAGAACAAAAAGAAACCTTTTCAGATGATTTAAAACAAAAGTGAGCAGAATAACTTTTTTTCCTCTCTTCCTCATCTGGTTCATATGTAAACTGTACTTTTCCTTGTAGTTGCAGCAAAGTTCACCCACCAGTCGAAGTCATTGTAGTCGTTCTCAGCTTGTCCCCAGAAGTAGAGAAACAGCAGCGTGAGACAGAAAGCTGCAACCAGCAGAGCGAAGGCGGCTCCTTCCAGCTGTTGGCATCAGAAACCAAACAGGTCATTACAGAGAAAAAAACATTTTTAAACCTGTTTAAACCTGAATTGCATCAACCTATACACAGAAGGAAGAAGCACATGTAAAGGTTTGAAGTAGAAAATAAAAATGTGGCGCTGCATACTCCTTCCAGCAGCCACAGAAAAAAGGGTTTTACTGCATTTTAAGATGATTTTTGAAACAGTTCTACAAAGAAAACATATACTTAAAAGCATGAGTAGACAAAAAAAAGCAAAGATTATTTTAAAAATCAAACAACAACAATGTATTATTAAATACGCTGGTGAAGATTCTCAGTCATCAGGTCATAGTCATTCCAAAAAATAAATAAATTAAAAACAATCCACTGGACTTTGTTTCCAAGTTTGAAGACGTTTCGCTTCCCATCCAAAAAGCTTTTTCAAATCAAAATGTCAGAAATAATGCTTTATATAACCTTGAACTCAACACTAATCCAGACATTTTGAATTGAAAAAGCTTCCTAGATGGGAAGAGAAACACCTTCAACTGGGAAACTGGAAAAGTCCAGTGGATTGTTTTTAATGTTCTTTTTTTTTTGGAATTAATTATTAAATGTATTTCTTTGCATGTAGACGTTTGTTAAACTAAGGGCCACGTTGCAGAATATAGCTGGATTCTGACCTGAAAAGATTGATGTTTCCCCAACCTCGACCTCAAAATCAAATATGGCCGCTTATTACAAATAACATGGTTGATGCACGACAGTCTGCTGGTTTTGTATCGTTAAATCTATCTCTATTCTCCCACTCTGCAGAATCTGTTAGTTCAATCTCTAACGTTCTGCTCTCTCTGCGTTTTCTCACAGTAGCTTCATCTGGTCTGTTTGGCTGTGACTCCATCCTGGAGAGAAATATCAGCTGTGCTGCTGCCATCAACACCTTTGTTTCTAGATGTTGGAGATCGGCCTGTTTTTCAGTGTAGTCCTGTTTCTCTGCATTTGTCTCCTTGAACCCCAGTCAGCCTCAGCAGATGGCCGCTCACAATGCTTGAGGTTTCATCCTGTTATAAGGGAGTTTTTCCTCTCCACTGTCGCTACAAGCATGCTTACTGTGAGGGATTGCCAATGAGTCGATCCAATTAACTGGTTCTCCTTAGATAGAAAACTTTCAGAAACTGCCTTGAGATGACGTGTTGTGAATTGGCGATATAGAAATAAACTGAATTGAATTGTTTTGCTGTTCTTCTTTCAAAGGAAATTGTGGATTCTGACAGTTTATTTTTTAATTGTCGTAGTTTCTCCTTACTCCTATTTCATTCGGCATGATTGGGTGAAACCAAATTTTAGCAGGCGGGCACTAGCTCTCGTTTTGCCCAACCTTCTGGAATTTTCTGCTGAACATCCCTCCATTCCACAAACAGATTCCATGGGAGCAGTCCCAGATTAATAATGTGTAGATCTAAACCTGAGAGCTACAAATTCTCAAATGGTGAACCAGGTTATTTACAGCTCTCTCCATCATAGGAACCACACAGGTTTTTTATGCAGAAAAAAACAGAAACAAAAGTTGACTGAAGTCTTTGGACTTCAGTCACTTTTCTTTACAGTCAGATTACAGGACATCCTGAAAGAAGGAGCTGAAGAAGGTTAAACATGTTTTAAAGCTCTGTACAACATATTCCAGTGAAAAACAAATACGTTCTGGATCAGCAGCACAGTGATTGAGGCTAATGTCTGACCTTGCTGCAGCAGCAGTCTCCTGGTGGGCCTCCGCTCCTCTCGTAGCGTCTCCATCGACAGCCGTACAGACCCGACAGACACCTCACAAAAGGCCCATGTTCGTAGCGACGCAGCAGTTTAGCACGGAGACCAAACAGGCGCTGTGAGAACGTGGACGCCATCACTCTGATAAGTCATGACACAGCTGCTGACACACACCTGAAAGACAAAACACACCTTGAAGCATCCTAACACTGGACTGGACTTCAGGAAACAGGAGGCCTGATGATGTATTTGAAGAAACCAGGGGCGGATTTAGGAAATTTGGGGCCCTAGAAAAAGACAGGCAGGGGGCCCTCTGAACTGAGAAGACAACACATAAAACAGACCCATTCTACAGATAGAGAAATGTTAATAGAATAGACATCCATTATCTGTTCTAGGTTCTGTCCCTCTCTTCTTGTCCCTTTTCTTCTTGTTTTCCTCTCTATGTTTTGTACTCAGCTGACTTTTCATGCTGTCTCTAAAGGAATGAAAGATTTTTTCCAAGCCCTAAGCTCACTTAGCTGATTGCTCCTTCCTGTGTTTCCAAAAAGGCCAAAGTAAATAACCCAGTCCTTCTTTTCACTGTAGACAAGCCATGATCTGCTTATCTGTTCTCCATTTTTCATTTGGATGAAATAATAGCTGCATGAATCATGACAGCAGACAAGATAGAGGAGAGCAGGAGGCGGGGTTACCAATCTACTCGCTCTGGAGAGCAGAGTTCGCTGCTTTTAGATGTTGTCTCCAAAGTCTCCAGTAGCAGAAAAAAGTTGCTAGATTTGGTGCTAGGAGCTTCTTCGAAAAACAAAATACAAAATCAAACACTGCTCTTTGCATCGTTTGTTTTCAAATGGTTTGCTGCTGTCTGTTTGGACCTTTCTGAACATGTGCAGCAAATGGACTGATCCAATATGGTGGACACTGAAGGGGGGGATGAGACACACTTAACATTATAAGCGTTCTGATGGCATTTTAGCGAAAGGATTTTTATCAAAAACATAATTAATGTGCACTAATAAGGAAAAGTTGTATTAACTATACATATAAACAGAGTTTTATGGGCGCCCCCAGGAACTAGGGGCCCTTAGCCTCATGAGACCATCCTGATCTCGCGAGCTTTCAAGATTTCACTCGCAGATCAGTCTGGAGACTCTCCGTTAAAGAAAATTTGGAGCCGTTCACCAAACGAACGTCCAATCAGCGTTGGCTTTGAGGCGGATTGAGGTGTGACGCAACGAGAAGCGCGACAGTTCAGTCTAAAGAACATGGCGGCTTCAGCCGATGAAACTAGCGTTAGCGTGGCTATCGAGCAAGTTTTATCGGAATTACAGAGTATTTCTTCACTGAAAGAAGAGCAAAACACTGCTCTGGAGGCTTTTCTCAGAGGAAAATATGTTTTTGCTCTTCTCCCGACAGGTTTCGGCAAGAGTAGCCTGGCTTGTGGTTGTGTTTTCGTCGTCGCTCTGTTAGTACGTCATATGCTTCGTTGATCTGATTGGTTTATTTGACCCGTCTATCACCAACATAGGCCAATCAGCTAACCAGTATTTTCGCCCCTTCCCAAAATTACTTCAACCTAAGTTTTCCAGATGGATATGCGTAGCAAATCCATCTGGCGGAGTCAGGTTAAGGTGCTCTAGGCAACTGCCTAGTATTGCCTAATGGTAAATCCCCCCCCGATCATCACAGACAAAAAGACTCATTACAGAGAAGAGATCCATCTGACCCGGTAATATTCACACAATGACTGATTCCAAAAGACCAGCAGAACCAAGAAGCTCGTTGTGAATAAAGCAGTCCAGGTCACTCAAATATTGACATCAACTTTCTAGGTCTTGTACATCTGTAACACCAGGCCTGGCGAAGAAGACCTTATAGATGTTCTTCTTCCTCAGGAAGCTGAAAGGGAACAGCCTGTCCTGCTGGTGAACTTTCACTAAATCACAATAGAGAGCATCCTGTGTCCGAGGGCCGGCAATGTGGTGCAGGAGCTGCAAGGCAGCGGGAAGAAAGGACTTGGGTGGGGCAGGTTCTCACTGTTACTGTTTACTGCATTTTATTCCTCATCTGTTATCTTTTTTAGGTCAAGATGTTTTAACACCTTTATGGTTTGACAAACCGCATGTTTGCCTCTGCGTGTGCATAACAATACCAAAGGCTCTCCTGAATCCGAATCTTTAGTAATTTGTTTTCACACAGATTCAGGTACACAGAGGTTCTAATATACCACCTTTTATATTGAAATTAATATAATAACCCAGGTCAGCGAAAAAATGAGTGGAGAAGTTCATTGAAATGGTTAAAATAGTTAACATCACATTATGCAAAAGACTTCAGCAAATAAATGTGTTTTAAAAATATTCTTTAACTCGGCCTGATCTGCGAGGACAGATCATTCCACAACTTTAGAGCAAAGTTCATCAGTCAAACTTAACACATGTTTATCAAGAGCTGTAAAGGGACTTTAGACTGTATAACTACAGTAAAGCTAAGGAAAAAGACATAACTATAGTTTTACAAACATAATCATGCTTTTAATGGGCTTCAGTCGAGATGCAAAGATAATTGAATGAGTAACGTTAATTGCACTTTGTGCTTAGAATTGAGAGCATAACATTGAAGACCATTAAATTTAATAATAAAGGAAAAGTTTATGCGCTTTGCTGTGTCACAGGAGAATAGAAATATTTATTTAGTTCATTTTCATAATATTCACTCGGTGTCTCGCTATGGGATGCAGCCTCCTGCAGCCCTGATAGAAGCATCTATCTCAATCTGCCAATCCTGATTGGCCGGTGGAAGTGCCCGTCATACGCCACGCCCTGTAGCTCCGACTACTAAAGCGTGTGTGGATCACGGCACTCCAATTCAAAACCTCTTCTCACCTGAGAGCTTATCTCACGTCGGAGCCTTCGCTAGCTTAATTGCCCACAGACGGACCTTGCTAGTTTCCGTCGCCGGACGCTAGCACTGTGCTCTGGCTTCTGCCCTGTCCGCTCACTCCAGACCGGACCGGTATCCTTTTTGTCTCTCTTCACGGCGGAATCCCTCTCGGCTCCCCTCCACAGACGCTCGAGTCGGACGAGCATTTAGCACACCAGCTACTTCCTCGACCCCGCCACGCTAGCACGCCAGCTAGCTACGGTTCCTTTCCCTACCAGCACTCCAGCTCGTCGGGAAATGGCGGCCGTCCAAAACCCCCACGCCAGGGGAGACTACCGTCTTTGTGGCTGCGAGAATAACATTTCAGGGAAGGACACCCACCCGGTGTGCAGTACCTGTCTGGGAGTCGACCACGCCAGGTTGGCCCTAGAAGTTCCCGGCTCCTGTGGACACTGCAAAGTGTTCACGGTTAAGAGCCTCAGACGCAGGCTAGCCCGCCAGGTTAGCGTCTCGGACTGTGACCCATTCCTCCCCACCGCCGCACAAGGTGCAGCCGCGGAGGAGGACGTGGACACAGCTGGGGAAGCTCCGGAGACTGACTACGACTGGGGTGCCCAGTGCGAGCAGCTCCATGCCCCCCCGTTTCCCGAGGAAGACGTGCTGGAAGTCAGCCCCATGGAGGAGGATGACGACACCTCGTTCCTCATATCAGAGGACGAGGAAGAGGATGACACCTTCATGGCCCCAGCACAGCCTGAGAGGCCTAAACCGCCGTGCCCTTCCGCCAAGGAAGACAGGGGAGCGAGCTCACCAGCTCCCTCCCTTCATGTGGACCTGCTCGACGTGTGCAAACGCGCGGCAGAGAAGCTGGAGATTCCCTGGCCGGTCGCAATAGCGGAGCCCACCCGGTCCCGCTACGAAGGCAAACGGCTTCCCCTGGCACGAAATGCGGTGAAGCAGCTTCTCCCTGTCTTCCCAGAGTTGCTGACGGAGCTCTCCAAAACATGGACTAGCTGCCCATAGAGCAACAGGAGCCCTATTTCGGGCGCAGCATCCCTCGACTGCGAGGCGATGGACGCCCACGGCCTCCTCTCCATGCATCCGGTGGAAGTCCCGGTAGCTGCGCACCTCTGCCCAGGCAGCGTGAGCCAGCTGTCTGCAGCTTCCCCCAGGCGCCCGACGCTGCCAGCTAAGCCCGAACGGTTTCAGTCTGCGCTGACCGAAAAGGCATACAAAGCAGCAGCCCTCTCGGCCAGAGCCCTCAGCGCCCTCTCCATCCTCACTGCCTACCAAGCGGAGTTGTTTGGCGCGTCTGCTGAGGAGCAAGACCCGGATGCGTGGGAGGAGATGGCGGTCATCGCAGACCTGTCTCTCCGCATCCAACGTGTCGCGGTCCAGGCCACAGGGAAGGTGATGGCAACCCTCGTCGTCCAGGAGCGAGCGTGATGGCTCAGTCTCGCTAACCTGACCGACAGGGAGCGGGATGACATCCTGGATATGCCGATCGTCCCTGAAGGCATCTTCGGCTCTGCATTGGCCACAATGCAGCAAAGATGTGAGGCAAAGAAAAAGGACAACGAGGCCCTCAAACTTTGTCTCCCTCGGAAAGCCCCTGCGCCTTCACCTCCTGTGCAACGCAAAACCTTTGCGCATGCAGCCTCCCAGCCGCCGCGTTTTAAGATACCAAGACGGCCACCACCGCCAGGTCCGCCCCCTCCAATGAGGAAGGAGCGCGGAGCCGGCTGGCAGGGGAAACCTGCCTCCACGACCGCTACGCCGCCGCCGCCCACAGCCGCCGCGAGCTCGGTTCCACAGGCGAGGAAGAAAAAGAGGGCGGCCTGACAGCCGCCAGTTCCTCAGTTGGTGCAGCCTGCTGTTCCCCGTTGCGCAGGCCCACCGTTTTGGCTTGTTTGTGCGCACCCCACGCCACCGTTGCCCATCCCAGAGCCGGTCCGCGAGGAGAAGGACATCGCCCCGGAGGTCTGCGCGGTTGCGCCCCGAGCGGAATGTCCACAAGCACAGTCACACACCCTTGTTCAAAGAAAAAATGGTGTCAAAATAAAAATAATAAATCTGTCACAGCCAGGCCACGAGCCGAGGGTGCAGATAATAAAAAAAGCCAAAACAGACGATGCTCTCTCCATAAGCAGGGTGGCTGCTCAGCCCCCTGCAGCTCTGCTCCCGGGACGGGCACCGCCGTCCCCGCGGAGCAGAGCAGAGCGCCCCACCGTGCCTCCGGTGGTGCCCGAGAATCATTTCTCGGTTCCACCACAGGGGGGCGCGGGGCAGGAGCCGCAATATGTTCCCCCGCTTTCTCTCAGATGGGAAAGCTGGAGAGCAGCAGCAGCTCCACCGTGGGTGTTGCGCACAATTTCCCGGGGATACAGGCTTCAATTCGCCACTGTCCCTCCCCGCTTCTCCGGTGTGATACACTCACATGCACAGGGAGAATCAGCTCGAGTTTTACGGGAGGAAATTCTCTCTCTGATAGACAAACGAGCAGTTTCTGTCGTATCTCCCGAACAGAGTCTGTCAGGGTTTTATTCCAGATTCCTCTCCCCCCCCGTCCCCAAACGGGGGGGGAGAGGAATCCACCCTATTCTGGACTTAAGAGCCCTGAACAAATTCCTGCGGAAATACAAGTTCAGGATGCTGACACATGCAGCACTGTTGCGTCTGGTAAGACCGAACGACTGGTTTTCGTCCGTGGATCTGAAAGACGCGTATTTCCACATTCCCATTTATCCCCCTCACAGACAATATCTCCGATTTGCCTTTCAAGGGGTGTGTTACGAATACCGTGTTCTACCATTCGGTCTGTCTCTCAGTCCGAGGGTTTTCATACGGTGCACAGAGGCCGCGGTAGCCCCGCTCAGACGCCGGGGGATACGTCTGGCCACGTATTTAGACGACTGGCTCCTGTTAGCGCAGTCAGAACAGGAAGACAGGGTTCACACACACATTGTCACAAAACACCTGATGGATTTGGGTTTTGTGATAAATATGGAAAAAAGCCACCTATCTCCAACGCAGGAGATATGCTTTCTGGGATTATCCCTGCGCTCTGTTCTGTTCACAGCCCGCCTGTCAGAGGAAAGAGTGACGGCTTTCAGAGCGTGCCTTGCACAATTCCGTCTGCACAGGTCTGTCCAGTTCAGACTGTGCCTTCGGTTGCTGGGTCTGATGGCCTCAGCCATCCTCGTGATTGGCCTCGGCCACCTTCACATGCGCAACTTTCAGCGCTGGGTCGCTTCGCTCCGAATGGACCCCGTGCATCATGGCGCACGGCGGATAACGGTCACAGCAGACTGTATAACAGCTCTGCGCTGTTGGCGAGCCCTGTCCTTCCTGACCCAAGGGGTGCCTATGGGCACCGTCTCGTCCAGGAAAGTGGTAACCACGGATGCCAGCCTATCAGGCTGGGGCGGCATTCACGAGGGCATGTCTGTGAGGGGTCGCTGGAGCCAGGCCCTCCAGCGCCTTCACATAAACTTTCTCGAACTTTCGGCGGTGTTTCTTTCTCTGAGACACTTCCTCCCATTCCTCTCGGGCCACCATGTCCTGGTGAGGACGGACAACACGACAACAGTGGCGTATATCAACCGCCAAGGGGGCCTGCGCTCCCGTATGTTGCACAATCTGGCGCGCGACCTGATTCTCTGGAGCAGTGCCCACTTTCTCTCCCTGAGAGCGACGCACGTCCCGGGAGACTTGAACACGGGTGCGGACCTGCTGTCCAGAGGCGCGCCAGTGTACGGGGAATGGACGCTGCACCCACAGGTCGTTGAGCAGATATGGGCGCGCTACGGGCGCGCTCAGATAGATCTGTTCGCGTCCAGGGAAAACGCTCGATGCGAGCTGTTCTTCTCTCTGAGCACTCTGAATGCCCCTCTGGGCGTAGACGTACTAGCGCACGCCTGGCCGCACGAGCTGCTATACGCGTTTCCACCGCTGGCCCTGATACCCCCCACTCTTGCCAGAGTGAGGGCATTCAATCACAGACTGATCCTAATAGCTCCGCACTGGCCAGCGCAACACTGGCTGGCGGAGATATTCCAGTTGCTGTGCGCCCAGCCTTGGGAGCTGCCGCTGCGCAGGGACCTGCTCTCGCAGGGTGCGGGGACAGTGTTCCACCCACACCCCGAGCGACTGCAGCTGTGGGCCTGGCCCGTGAGTGGCTTAATTTAACCACTGCCGGGCTCCCTCAGAGTGTAATTAATACTATCCAAAACGCCAGGGCTCCCTCCACTAGGAACCTATATGGCTCCAAGTGGGGACTGTTTGAGCGGTGGTGTCTTGAACGGGACTACGTTCCTTTTCAGTGTTCTGTACCAGCGATTCTGTCGTTTTTACAGGAACTGATTGATAAAGGAAAAGCTTTTTCCACGGTTAAGGTTTATCTGGCAGCTATAGCAGCATGCCATATAGGATTTGGAGACAAAACGGCGAGCCAACACCCTTTGGTTTGTCGGTTTATGAAGGGCGCCCGCAGGCTCCTCCCCGTCTCCAGACCTTTGCTGCCTCCGTTGGATTTGTCGGTGGTTCTGGAGGGGCTTAAGGGACCCCCATTTGAACCGTTGTTGGGGTCCAGTCTTAAACATCTGTCTCTCAAGACAGTGCTGTTACTGGCCCTGGCCTCTGCGAAACGAGTCAGCGACATTCATGCGCTCTCTGTGAACCCCGCATGTACCCGGTTCGACCCGGAATACACGCGTATGGTTCTGAAACCCAACCCGGCCTTTGTTCCTAAAGTGGTGGGTTCTTGTTCACCGATCGAGCTAGCGGCGTTCGCCGCCTCCCCAGGTGAACGGCGAGCGCACACGCTGTGCCCTGTTCGAGCCGTGCGCTCTTATATGGACAGGACGCAGAGCTTCAGGATGAGTGATCAGCTCTTTGTCTCCTGGGCGGAGCCCCGTAAGGGGCAGCCGATCACAAAGCAACGCCTCTCCCACTGGGTGGTGGAGGCTATAGCTTTGGCGTATGGAAGCAGGGGTCTGCAGCCCCCGGCGGGTCTGCGTGCACACTCTACCCGCGGGATGGCTGCGTCTTGGGCTTTATTTCAGGGAGTGTCCGTTCAGGACATTTGTTCAGCGGCGAATTGGTCTTCGCCTCTGACTTTTGTCCGGTTCTACATGCTTGACGTGTATGGACCGTGCCTGGCCAGTGCGGTCCTACAGTCATAACTGACCTTGTGGACCTTCCCCATCGGCCGGTTCTTGTTCGATAAGCTGTCTGGCAATACGGGAGCTACCATATCCCATAGCGAGACACCGAGTGAATATTATGAAAAAGAAGGTTTGGTTATCTAACATAACCCCAGTTCTTAGAATAATATGAGCGAGGTGTCTCGCCAGACGACCTTTCTTGCAGGGCGGTGAGAAGAGGTTTGCTTGTTGAATTGGAGTGCCCTGATCCGCACACGCTTTAGTAGTCGGAGCTACGGGGCGTGGCGTATGACGGGCACTTCCACCGGCCAATCAGGATTGGCAGATTGAGATAGATGCTTCTATCAGGGCTGCAGGAGGCTGCATCCCATAGCGAGACACCTCGCTCATATTATTCTAAGAACTGGGGTTATGTTAGATAACCAAACGTTTTTCCACATTATCCTCAGCTATGACTTTAATTATTGCATTTAAAATGTAGAAAAGTATTAGTTCTCTTGATTTTGATCTTTTGATTTTGATTATTTGATTGCCTGTTATTTTATTGATTTAGATTAAACATACAACTTTATTCAGATCAGATATAAAAAACTTATCCAATGTTTTGAGCAGGGAGGCATTATATGGTCAGAGTCAGAGCTTAACATCGGCTTAAAGCCCAAACAGCTGTCCCTGTGGCCCAGCATGATCGTCTCTCTGCAGCTGTTTTGTCTGAAGCAGAAGTATTTTATACTGCTGTAGATTTTCAACCTTCTTCACCAAAACTTTCTGCACTTAGTTGCACTCTGCCCATTTAGGGCAGTAACCAAAAAGCAGACAATCAAAGTCTTTGTTTTTATTCCTGGATAATACACCTGTCACATGACCAACCCGCTAATAAAGAGACCCAATCAGGAATAAGATGGAAAATAGGCCCATAAAACTCAGTTTACAGGTATAGTTAATACAACTTTTCCTTATTTGTGCACATTAATTATTTTTTAGATAAAAATCCTTTTGCTAAAATGTCATCAGAAAGCTTATAATATTAAGCCTGTTTCTTCTCTGTGCAAAGTCTTCTAGTCCACTTTCTATTCTAAAGGACATTCTTTCATTTGCAGAACTTCTCAGGACATTAAAGAGCCAAACTTTCCTAACACTTGACCTTTTAGTTTCATTTCCTTACTACAGTCAGATGATCACAGCTTCCCACTTCTGAGTCTGGAAGCTGTTTCTGTAAACAGATTATCTATAGCAGAGGTCACAGATTAGCGTACCGTGGTTCGGACCCACCTGCTGGCTAATCCGGACCCAACCTGATTTCAAACATTTATAAATTACTGCAAGTTTTGATGGCTGTGTCTAATTTCACTTGCGCCGCTTCTCCTGTTAATACGGTAAAGCCCTCCGGAGCGTCCGGCTCCAGGCTGCACGTGATCCAAATGAGCCAATGAGCTGTCAGTCTGGGTTGCTGCTGCTGCTGCTACTTTTAGACACAGCAGGCAAACCTGTGGCAAGCCGGGCGATGGGAAAGAAGGAGAAGACGATGAGAAAAAGAGAGCAGAGAAAGTGTGGACTGCTGGAAGAACTGCGGTGAACTGGTGAAAGAAAAGTGAAATGGCGTGCTCAAAGATGATAACCTGACCCCGCCAGATGGATTTGCTCCGCATATCCATCTGGAAACCTACTGTTGAAGTAATTTTGGGAAGGGGCAAAAATACTGGTTAGCTGATTGGCCTATGTTGGTGATAGACGGGCCAAATAAACAATCAGATCAACGAAGCATATGACGTACTAACAGAGCGACGACGAAAACACAACCACAAGCCAGGCTACTCTTGCCGAAACCAGTCGGGAGAAGAGCAACAACATCTTTTCCTCTGAGAAAAGCCTCCAGAGCAGTGTTTTGCTCTTCTTTCAGTGAAGAAATACTCCGATAAAACTTGCTCAATAGCCACGCTAACGCTAGTTTCATCGGCTGAAGCCGCCATGTTCTTTAGACTGAACTGTGGCGCTTCTCGTTGCGTCACACCTCAACCCGCCTCAAAGCCAACGCTGATTGGACGTTCGTTTGGTGAACGGCTCCAAATTTTCTTTAACGGAGAGTCTCCAGACTGATCTGCGAGTGAAACCTTGAAAGCTTGCAAGATCAGGATGGTCTCACGAGGCTACAAAGATGACCCTGCACATTTAGAGGATGTTTGGCTAAACCTGCTGCTGTGAAGCAGGATTCTCCACCATGAACAGAATCAAAAATAAATCTGGATCCAGGCTCAAAATGAGCACCTTGATATGTGCTTGAGAATGGCTTAGTCTCCATTTAAACCCAGGTTTAAAGCCTTGCAGGGCAGCCTAAAGCCCACTGCCAACATTAAGACAGAAAACAGAAAATAAACGCTCAGTTCAGGGGTTTTATAAAATATGTGAATCAGGATATTGTCTTTATACCAAACTGAACATTTGTTGTTCTATATATCAAAAAACACTTTAGATTTTAAAATTGAAAAATTTTCTATTTTTTTCTATATTTTTTTTTATTTAAAAAGTCAACGTGTAACATGGAGGCATAAAAACCTCATTTTATTTCAGTGTTAAATTATTTTTAAAATAACAGATTATAATTTAAAATGTCTCCAGACCTTTACTGGATGATGATTTTTTTTATTTGGACCCTGATGATTTTTAATTGGTTACCCCTGATCTATACAATAATTTTAGTGACACAGGAAATGTAAACAAACGCTTCTTGTGTCACGAACGGCAGCAGTTTTCTGCAAGAGCTTTAATGCTGACGTTTCCTCTGAAACGCATCAAGTGTAACGAAGACGGCTGCATGGTTGTGTAAATATTTGTTTGCTTCAAACTAGGCTCTCCTACAAAAGTAATCGCAGCAAACGATAAGTACATCCACGTCAGACAATGATTCTGTATTTCCTCTTGAACTGGTTCAAAAGAGTTCTTTATTTTCAAATCGAAGCCCACACTGCAAAAAATGTAAATCTCAATGAGTATTTTTTCTTAAAATAAGTGCATTTTTTCTTAAATTAATGAGGTAAGTGTAACACTTTGCCAATGGAACAAGACAATTTACATTTAAAATAAGAAAAAACTATTATATTGTCTTATTTCAAGTGCCTATTATCTAATTATCTTAATTTAGGAGTAAAAATACAAATTCCATTCGCAGATCATCTTATTTTCCTGCTCAAATTAAGGGTTAATGTGTTTCATTTAAGACTTTTTTACTCATTTTTAGATCGCTTTTGCAGTGCAAGAAACAAACCAGCAAAGGCAAGATTAATCCAACAGCTGGATTAACATCTGCTTAACATCTTTTCTTTGCAGAATCCAACCTTAAACTTCATGCCTGTATTATTCAAGCATTCCTTTGTTTGTTTTCTTCTTTTATTTTCTAAAATATGTGAAACCAGCCAGCAGCATCGGAAGCCCAGAGGCAAAGTACCAGTCTGGTTCAGATACAGCAGCTCCTATTCTTACTGTATCATTTTCACAACGTGGGAACAAAGCGTGGAGCAGAATGTAACCCATCTGCTGGGTCGTAAATGGAGACTCAACTCAACTTCCCCGGATTATCGAAAGTTTTATTTTAGATTAAAACTTTATTATATCAAGGATTTAATTCCACACAGGACAGTCCAGTTCAATGTCTCCTTAGCCCAATTAAGGTCTTTTATGTTCAGGAGTGGTTAAACAAAATGAATGTGATGGTTTGAGGCCATGTCCTCAATATTTCCTGGTTAATGACGCTAAACACCGACTGCAGGATGCACCTTTTTGGGTCTCACCTTTTTTTCTACTGTAGTTTTTCCTCCCTCCAGTAGTTCCATGTAACTGCTTTGTCTTTTCCATGATTGTGTACATCAAAGTGAATCTTTTATTCAAAAGTATTAATTTTCATTTATGTGTGATAATGAAAACTAATGATAAGGATTTTTTTACTTCAACCTCTAACGTTATCTGCTTTTTCTCATAGTTGCTTCATCTGGTCTGTTCAGATGCAGCTACTATGATGCCTTCCAGTGGAAACAGAGTAAAGTGGATTGTGTTTTAATTTTCTTTTGTTTGAATGAATCATTAAATGCATTTCTTTGCATGTAGACTTTTGTTCAACAAAGGGCCATGTTGTAGAATACAGCTGGATTCTGACCTGGAAAGGTTGATGTT